ACAAGCTGCAAGGTCGACAGTGCCCTACTAACCACCAAATCCACGGCATTTGTTTAGTTCTTATCCTTCTAAACCTTTCCATTTTCTCTGACACCACTTCTCTGTGAAAAGCTCATTTTCCTTGGCTTCAATGGCATTGTACTACACTGATTTTCTAATCTCTTTCTAACTGTTCTTAGTTTTCTATGCCAGATCCTTTCTCATCTGAACTCCTTAAGTAGCAGTTAAAGTAGCAGATAAAGTTCTCAACTTTATCTCAGCTATGACATCTTTCTCATCTGAACTCCTTAAGTAGCAGTTAAGTAGCAGATAAAGTTCTCAACTTTATCTCAGCTATGACACCTAACTGATGTTTACATGAGTGGCATATTTTCATGGGTTATACTAGCTTCCTTTTAAATTCAAAAAAGTCTTTGTGCAAGTTAGAATAATCATAGGGAAATAATGATCACCTTAAATTTATAAAAAATAAATCATTTGGAAAGTCAAGTACTTTGAACACTGTGATTAAAAACAAATTAATTGCACCATACAGGCATTTAGCCTCAGCTGTCTTACCTACCTTAAACTCTTCCTAGGCAATCTCATCTTGCACAGCCTCCAATCAAACCTCTATGCAAATGACTCCCAAATCTGTTTCTCCTGCTTTGACCAGTCTCTGAGCTCAGGACTCACATGTGCAAGTCACCTAGTAATATCAATAAGCAGCCAGCCCCAAACTGAAAACATTTTCACACCAAACACTGTTCCTCTTTCCAGCTGCCCTATTTTGGTTGATGGTACCACTTACACTTCAAACCTCAGATACCAAAACTAAATAAATAAAAATCAACTGGTGAGTGGATAAAGAAAATGTGTGGGGTGTGTGTGTGTGTGTGTGTGTGTGTGTGTGTATACATATAAAATACTACTCAGACATTAAAAAAGAATGAAATAATGTCTTTTGCAGAAACTTGGGAGGAACTAGAGGCCATTACCCTAAATGAAGCATCTCAGAAATAGAAAAACATACGGCATGTACTCACTTACAAACAAGCAGGACCTAAATGATAGGTATACAAAGTCATACAGAGTGGTAATGGACTCTGGAGACTCAGAAGGGGAGCAAGGGAGAAGGAGATAAGGGATCAAAACTTACCTATTGGGTACAGTGTACACTATTTGGGTGATAGGTACACTAAAAGCCCTGACTTCACCACTATATAGTTCACCCATGTAACAAAAACCCACTCGTACTCCCTAAATTTATTGAAGAAAAAAACAAAACCTCAGATGTATTTTAGGCTGCTTTAATCCCTCAACACCCACTTTAACAAGACTCATAAAGTCCACCTCTGTAATTTTAGTGTACTCATGTTCTCCTTTCCATTCCTTTGACCATTATTCTGCCTCAGATCATCATTGCTTTTCATCTATTACTCATCTATTTCTTTCCTCTCCCTTATATCTATACTCTCATATTTATACTGCTATAAAAACAAAGGTCACACACTCAAATACCTAAAAGCCAGTAAGATAGTGTAAATGAGTCAAGAAAGCCAAGCATTTTCATATTAAACATAAAAAGATTGTTCCCTTTCATAAAAAAAAAAGAAAAGCTTCTCTCCTTTCTTAGAATTCATGGTCTTCTTGGCCTAACATTTATTTTACCAGTTTTGCTGGAGATGTTGGTACAGAATGAAAGCAGTGGAATATAGTAACTGACTATGTCTCAGGAATGGGGAGAAAACAGGGAGTGGCAGGGACACGCTGGATAGCACTTGTCCTTTTAAAGGAGGTAGCTGCTTAGCGCTAACCAATTATAGCCTTGAAAAGAGGGGGAGTAGGGAGCCGGCCCCATGTACCGAGGCCGAACTACAATCAAAAAATAGCCAGGCTTTGTGGCGGGCGCCTATAGTCCCAGCTACTAGGGAGGCTGAGGCAAGAGAATCGCTTAAGCCCAGGAGTTGGAGGTTGCTGTGAGCTGTGTGACACCACTACACTCTACCAAGGGCAACAAAGTGAGACTCTGTCTCTACAAAAAAAAGAAAGAAAGAAAAGAAAGAAAAGAAATGAAAGAAAGAAAGAGAAAGAAAGAAAGAAAAGAGGGGGAGTAGTATTGACAAATCTTTGAAACTGTAAAAAGAGAAGCCAAAAACTTACGATTTTCTTACTTGGTTTCTCTTAAAAATAAACAGGAGGGGGCAAGGAGGATAAAAAAAAAAAATAAACAAACAATCAGCCTGATAAATTAAAGACTCACATCCTCTCCTATTCTGCATCACACCTTTTCTTACAGAGTTTGGCTCACAAATTTTAGCTCACCGCAATTTCCTGGGAGAAGTGAAACAATATATATATATAAACCCTTGAGAGGCCACACTGAACTAGACTTCACTTTCTGATCCTCCTCCACGCGTAGGTCATGGATCAAAAACCAATCCTGTCCCAAAATGTGAGTCACTAAATCCTCAGACAAACCTTATAGGTCCCTAAATTTGCAAGACACTCCTCATTCTTCAATTTCATTTCTCTTTACCCCAGTAAACCTACCTGCTTTAGCCAAATACACTGCTTGCTTTTATACCTCTTCACTCACTAGTATCACTTCCCGCCTTTCCCTTCACAACCCTGCCTGAAGTACACCTTCCCCAAGGAAGCACTTCTTGATTAGGGTCCCTAGAAATTAAGTCTTTTTTGTTTGTTTTCTCATCGTTAGAGACCTACGCAGTTGTATTAAGTATTCTCACTTATTTCTAAAACTGGTTCGTGAGCTTCTCCAGGACACTAATAGACCTCTTTCCCAATCCCATTCATGATCTCCCCAAACTCACGACACATCCATCTCAGGGCATGAGAGGCAGGGAGGGAGCTGCAGATTGGTGCTGCTAAAGCACCTCCCAGGGCTCCGGGGCTCGCCACAGCGCGAGGGAGTGATGCACCGCATCATTCGAAATCAACCCACACCCTCTCACCCGTCAGTTCCCCAGTCAGGTAAGTGGCCATTTTGGAGAACATGTCCCGGCAGAGTTCATTGATGTCAGCTTCAGCAGGCTCCTTTGCTTCCTCAGCTGTCTCCACCGCAGCATCGTCTGGGCCAAGGAAGAATGAGTAAACGTCCTGCTCTACGCTCAGTCCTAATTCAGCCAATGCAGCCTATTCCTCCATCCCTCCACTTGTATCGATTAAGTTGGCCATTCTCCCTCTGCATTAGTTTCAAGTCCCTCACTTTCTCTTTGCCAGCCTGACAAGAAAACTTTACTCCTTACTCAAACCCGAGCCCCTGGCCAAACATCGTTGTTGCTCTGACAGGACAAACACTCGCGCGCGCAAAGATAGGTGCAGCCGTCCGACCTGCCCGCTCCACCACACATTCAGCCCCACTATCCGGGGTCCCCACCCCCAGGGCCCGCGCGGGACACTTGATCCCCATCCATTCCGTGTACCTCGAGCTGGCTCCTCACGTCGGGGCGCCGGGACACCCTCTGCAGCAGCCGCCATGCCCGGCCCTGCGCGGCTTCCGGTGCTGGGAGGTTTGCGCTTGCGCACTGGGCTGCCCCGCCCGGCCTGCCCCGCCCTCCCCACCCGAGTTCGCAGCCCTGCGGTGATGTGCTTCTGGCACAGGTCGTCCCTCAGAAGACAAGTTGTCGCAGAAGGTAATCGCGAAACCAAGATTGAAGTTAGGCTATTGTAAATCGACTCGCTATCAATAGTCTCTAGGTCTGAAACTGAAGGCGTGCCCATTCCAGCAGTCACATTCTGCACTCGTCTTGTACTACCCACAGCCCCTCTGGGCTTAGCGAAGCCCGATGTGGCCCGCTGATCAAACTCCCCTCCCCAGACTCTCTGCACCCTGGCTGGTGTTAGTCCCGGAAGATTGCTCGGGGAATCCAAGCTTTGCAGGTAGTCTCATGCAGACTTTGGGAAACCTTCAGGCGTTGATCCCTGCTCCTCAATACTCTCCCTCCCAATGTCCTGGATTTGCACCTACTCATTGGCCTTTATTTCTTAAGTTGCTGTCAGGAACCTACTCCTCTTCAGTAGATACAGCCTTTCTGAAGAAAGCTTAGACTGTAACTTTTTTAGGACTCAGAATCCAGTGTAGTTATCTTAATTGCATTTAGCTGTTTCACAAGTCTCCTAGGTGCACAGAGGACTTACTGGGATTGGAGAACAGGGTGGGTGAAAGGAATAGATGGGGAAAGGGACTGGGGTGCAATGAAAGGTGCAAAATGAGGAAGGGATAAAAGTTACAGGAAAAAGAAGAAATACAGAAAAAGAAGAAATATGTAGCAGGTCTCAGGATGTAGGCTCCTGGACACCTGAAATCTTGGTGTAGGACTTCCTTGTCTTATTTTGGTATCATCCATCTGTACCCTTTTCTGACCCCTCCCTTGGCCATATAACACACACATGCACACACATCCACTGCCTCCACCCCCATTCTCAGCCCTCTTAACCTGACTCCATCCTGAGAACTGGGTCTCCCTGTTTCACCTGTCTCTATTATCCCTTACAGTACAACCATAGTACCTATCATTTCAAACCATTCCTACAAGCCAAAGGGCCTTATTTCAGGACTCCTGAGGCAGTCCAGCTCCTTTATGTTGTTGCTACCCTCACTCCATACTCCCTATTCCAGCCCAAACACATAGATGGCCCACACTTTCAGCCTACCTTCTTCCCTCTGCATTCCCAGAAGAAAGACAAAGTCCTGGTTTTCCTAAGGAGTTTTATTGATAGTAATCATGAAAACCCACGTGGTGCTATGGAAAAATACAATCAGAACCCATCACATGTTAGTTCAAAGATCTCTGGATCTTGAGGTCATTTCCTTGCCTGATTCTCTTCAGGCACCATTTTTATCTCCTGGTTTTCACCCCCCTCAGTTCCCAGGTTCAGTGAAATGCCAGGAGGCAAGCTCCTCCAGAGGGTCTTCATAGGCTTTGCGCTGGGAGGTGTCACTCTAACTCCTCTGCACCTTTGGAATGTCACCACATGAAAATCTCCTCTTCTAAGGTTTACCCTTCTTTATTACAGGGAACCTCTTGGGGGGAGACAAGAAATCCACAGATACTAGCAGCAGATCTCTAGATCCATGAAGAACAAAAATAAGATTCACTGGCAAGTAGAAAGATATCTAGACACTGCCTGCTCTTTTGATTTCTACTTTTTTGACAATTGTGGCTATTCAGGTGCTTACAAAGAGGCATTACCCTCCCTTCCTGTGTCTTTTTTGTTATTGACACTTTTTATCACCACAGCAGAGCAAAGTGCACTTCTTATAGGGAGTGAGAAGCCCAGTGGGAAGTGTTGTTTCACAGAGAAAGCTATATGGCTTTGCACAGAAACACTGAGTCACAGGCCTAAGCATGATGCCCACTACACATGGAAATATTGGCTCAAAAGACCAGACACAGGGTGGGGCTTGGAAGCAGCCACATTGCAATCTGCTCTCCTAGAAGTGGAGGGCACATGGAAAGGGGACCTCTGAGGAGGCAGAGGGAGAGGAGTCTGCTGTCTGATGCTTTAGACCTCCTCTGCCACCACTGTCCTGCCCACCCTGGACTCCCCAGAGGGCTAGAGTCATAGCTGGGGCTGGCTGCAGGTGCTCCCAATTGGCTTGTTCTTCCTGTTAAAATAAAAAGGGTCTGGTTATTTGAAGGAAGAATATGTTTCCCACTTTCCTTTTCTCTGGGTTTGATTCCAGAGAACCCAGACTTCTACAGATTGAATGTTTTTGCCTCTCCCAAAGTCATATGTTGAAACTTACTCTTACCTAATGTGATGGCATTAGGATGTGGGGCCTTTCCTAGGTGATTAGGTCTTCAGTGTGGAGACCTTATGAATGGGGTTAGGGCCTTTATTGAAAATTGAGTTCCTTTGTCCCTTCCACCATGTGAGAACACAGAAAGAAGATACGTGTCTGTGAATCAAGAACTGGGCCCTCACTAGGCACCAAAATCTGCTGGCGCCTTGATCTTATAATTTCCAACCTCCTAAACTGTGCAAAAGAAATTTGGGTTGTTGATAAGCCACCTAGTCTATGAAAGTTTGTTACTGAAGCCAAATGAACTGGCTCAGAGGCACACACCGTCTCCTAAAAGCCAAGGCAGCCCTCGAGCAGGGCAACAAACTTCGAAGCCATATTGCCACACTCTACCTCCTCTGATACTTATCACTGTGAACCTGTTTCCCCAGGAGCCTGAAAACATGTCTTTCAAAAATGTTCTTCCCCCACTCACTAAGTGAAAAGAGTTCAGCTGTGGGGAACTAATAAAGGGCCACTCACCATGCCTGGGGAGGGGGTCAGCCACCCCTTCCTCTCCAGCACCGTTAGCTTTGAGCCCACAGAATCAACCTGAGATACAAGTCCTTCCAGGACAGTCTCCAGCTGCAGAACTCTCCTTGTGAGCCTGTACAGAATTTGAAAGAGACCAGTAGAGCAAAAAATCTGGAGCAGGAGTAACAGAACAGCATATGTCTGGACTGGATCAAGAGAGGTATTTAATAAGACCCAGCCTTGTAAAGAGAATTAAAGGAGAGGTTCTCCCTGGGTTGGGAAAGGGAATTAAAAAGCTGTGGTAAAAAACTCAAGGTAGGATATTACAAACATAGCCAGGCCTGGGCCTCTGGCTGCACATACATGTAGAATTCTTCTCCTGAAATCCAGCCTCCTGCTCTGGCAACCTCTGAGCCCAACTCGCCTGGTAGGCAACTTGCAATGGACCGGCCCACATTCTCAATTTCAGCATTGAGGGCCACCTGATCAGGAAGTCATAGGTTAGAGGACAGAAGATAAGTCTGGGAAGCCATTTGCTCCTGTTCTATCGCCAGCGGTAATAAGCTCTCGAGACCAAGGCTCGGATTCCAGTTCTTGCTGTTCCTCTTCCCTCTCAGGCTGAGGAAACAATAGGGTTATGGTAACCCAACCTCTAAAGAGAAACAAAACACAAGCTCCTCAAACCCTTGATTGGTGAGATATTCACCAGAGGCCACTCATTTTGGGAGAGGAGGGACAGTACCAGAATTCTTGGCACTCTCTTTCTGGGATGCTGTCACTCTGCCTTTGACTTTTTTGGGTACCCAGGATAGGTATAGAGCAAGCAGAGTAGGAGCAGGAGGATCAGAGTTTGAAAATTCCAGGAAGGCAAGTCCTCAGAGGGAGTTATCAGGGATTCTTGAGCAATTAGTCCTTTTCCTCCAAGACTGTGATTTAGAGCAATGGCTCTCAACCTTGGCTATGCATTAGGATTACCTGGGAAATTTTCTTTCTTTCTTTTTTTTTTTTTTTTGAGACAAAGCCTCAAGCTATTGCTCTGGGTAGAGTGCCGTGTTGTCACAGCTCACAGCAACCTCAAACTCCTGGGCTAAAGCGATTCTCTTGCCTCAACCTCCCAATTTGCTGGGACTACAGGTGCCCACCACAATGCCTGGCTATTTTTTGGTTACAGTTGTCATTGCTGTATGGCAGGCCCAGGCTGGATTCAAACCTGCCAGCTCTGTTGTATGTGCCTGGTGCCTTAGCCACTTGAGCTATAGGCACCACCTGGGAAATTTTTTAAAATAACTGTTATCTGGGTCCCACCCCCAGAAATTCTGATTTAATTGGTCTAGGGTATGTGCCCAATTATGCGGATTTTTAAAGGCTCCCCAGCCTTGGCGCCATAGCTCAAGTGGTTAGGGTGCTGGCCACATACACCAGGGCTAGCAGGTTCGAACCCAGGCCAGGCCTGCTAAAGAACATGACAACAGCAACAACAAACAAAAAATAGCGGGGTGTTGTGGCTGGTGCCTGTAGTCCCAGCTACTTGGGATGCTGAGGCAAGAGAATTGCTTAAGCCCAAGAGTTTGAGGTTGCGGTGAGCTGTGATATCATAGCACTCTACTGAGAGTGACATAGTGAGACTGTCTTTAAAAAAAAAAAAGGCTCTCCAGGATATGCTAATGTGCAGCATTTTTGAGAACTGCCATTCTAGAGCATTCTTTCCTGCCCACACATGGGAAGATTTTCAGTCTGGGTTTGTGTTGAGGGTGTATTGGTGTAAGGGACAGGGTAAGCAGTTTCTTCACACTGCCCCTCAACCAGTCAGCCTGGCTTACCCTCTTATCCTCCAGGTCCTGTTGCATTTGTTCCTGTTCCTTCTCATCCAGGATGCAATTCCCATCTCGGTCAAACCTCGTGAAGGCAGCTGTGAGCTCAGTGATTTCATGCTCTGCATGTCCTAGTCTGAAGAAAATAGAATGACGAAATGGCTTGTACCCTGTTGTGGCTGTGACCTCTTGATTACCGATTCCCTGCTCTTTTGCTAGACTTTGGCAATAGTCTTGCTTTCTGAGACAGAAGTATCTCCAAAGTCTAGCAAGAAATCATTTGACTCTACGGTATTTCTTCTTCCTCTCCTGACTCCTGCTGACTGGTTCAGGGCCTTGTGGCCTCCAGCCAGGATTACTGTGAAATCTCTTTGCCCCTAAATAACCCACCACCCGCCAGTTCTACTTTGTCCCCAGCTTCTGAAATCTATCCCCATGATACAACTGGAGTGATTAACTTTTCTAATGTACAGGTAAATTTGCCCTCTTCCCAGCTTAAAATCCTTTCTGGACACCAATGTGGCCTTTACCTATTTCTCTGGCCCCTTCTCCTGTTATAACCCGCCTTTTATTTGATGCCTAGGCAATGCTTCTCTACTTATTACTTCTGTATATGTTGCTTGGTTTCAGACCTCTATGCCTTTGTTCGTGCTTTCACCTCTCCTTGGAATGGCTTTCCTCTGCACTCTGCTAATAAGCTATTTTTCCTCCAAACCCTATTCAGAAATCTTCTCTCCCAGGAAGCCTTCCTTTAAGCTCAGAGATAGAATTGGTCAATCTCTTTACTCCATGCTGCCTCTCTTGTAGTCACTTCTGTGGTTGAACTTATTCTGTGATTCAGTTTTTTTGTTTTTTTGTTTTTTGTTTTTTGTTTTTTTTTTTTTTTTTGCTTACATGACTATGCACTCTTGGAAAACAAAGACTTTGTCTTGTTTAATTTTGTTGCTCTCTATTCAGTCCCTGGCCTCTGGCTAGTGCTCACAATATATTTGTTCAATGTTTATTAATATGTTTGACTGGGGGTTAGGGAGGGAATAACTAACGGAATAGAACAGTGTTTGGGGGGAAGCAATGAATGAAAATAATGAGGTTTTAGGAGTGGGAGATATAGAAAATGATTAGGGAATTATATTATACATTAGTCCTAAGAGCTGATCAACAACATCCAGAATGTTTATATATATATATATATCATGGTCAGAGACCTTTAAACCATGGGCACAATTCTGGAGATCAGGATCAGAGATCTATGGGCAAAGGTCAGAAGCCTATAGACCCCTATAGTTGAAGGTCACAGATTTATAGACCAGTGTCAGAGAAGGATGGCTCTCTGGTCACTCACTCTCTCAAGGTGTTGGTGAAGTCCTCAAACTGGATCTCTTGCTCTCCACCCTGAAGAACCTTCTGTACATCTGAAACCTGCTCCTTCCTCAGATGCAGCCGTAGTAGGGTCTTGTTGTAGCCCTGGAAGGGAAAGGAGATAGGCACCATTTCTCACAGGCTTCTCATCATCCCTGGACCCCACCCCCACCCATAGGGTGCCATATGTCCAGGGATAAGTTGAAGGCATACTGGGCACAGGCCTCTATACCATTCAGAAACAGACCAGGACATAGAGCCTAGGACCTGGGCCCTGATGCAAATGTGCAGCTCAAGGAGACTGGGTGGTCACCTGTCTCAGAAGGTCAGAAAGTTGCAGCTCATCCTTCTGTCCAGCCAACTCCTCCTTGACTTCTGAATATGTATCATTGATGATAGCCAGGAACATGTTCTAGAGGATAAGGCAGAGACCTGAGCCTTTACTCCCAGACCCACTGAAAACATTGAGCCCACTGACCCCATTTATGTACCAGACACATGGTCCCATGCTCTTAACTCTAGCTCTGCACCTCACCAGTCCCCACTTTCAGAATCCTCAGACCCTAGCCTTTCAGCACAATTCTGTTAAGGATGAATCATGCTCCATCATCAACCTGGTATCCCCTCAGTTGCTGCAGCAACCTTTCTGACCACAGAGATACCCCAACAGATGCTACAGACCTCCTCCACATTAGTGCCTGCCAGTTACTGAAGCCAGAAACTTCAAGGTACAAGTACAATTGTGCTCTCTTTGCCAACTACTCCCAATCCACGTCCGTATCCCCATCCATTGATCAAATAAAGAGACATACTGGCCTTATTAATAAAAATCAAGTCTACATCTTTTGTGGTTGGCAGAGAGAACAACTACCAAGTAGTGGCAATAGAAATCAGCAAGAGGTCCCCAGAGGAAGGTGAGTCTTGGAGAACAGGCGTAGCAGCTTCCACATGCAGCTACTTCTCCTCATGAGGCATTTTTCTCTCCCTTTCCATCCTTAGAGGATGAGGGTTTGATTTTATTGAGGGAGTCTGCAGGTTCCCTTATGCTCTGCAAATCTACAAACTGACCATCTTCTACACCGACCACACTAGCCAGCTCTCAGAAGACCCAAACATCCTCCCATTCCACCCACTTTCCATCCTTGGTTTGAGAAACTCATCACAATCTTGAATGGGGGACACATGGGGACCAAATCTCTACCCTGAAGGCTATGCTCCCACCCCTCAGAGAGAGCCTCACCAGGAGCACGAAGAAGACGAAGAAGACATAGGTGACAAAGTAGGCAGGACCCAGGATGCGGTTGGCATCATCGATAGCATTGTAGTCAAAGTCCCCAAGGATTATCCGGAACTGAGTGAAACTGAGAGACCAGGTCTAGACTTCACCCAGAGCCCAACCAAACCCTGACCTCCCATCCACACCTTCACCTCACTTTCCTAACTATGGACAGACCCCTCACTGCACGTCAACCTAATCTCCATTGCTTGAGCACCCACCAGGTCTTCTGGAGACTCTGACACAGATTCTTTAAGCACAGACACACCACGCACATCTACCCATCTTCCCCAAGGACACACACACCCACGGAGCTGCAGGGTAAGGGGCCAGGGAAGAGTGAAGGGGGCAGGATACACACATGCACTTGACGAAAGTGCTAAAGTTTTCCACTTGGGTCCCAAAAAGCAGGTAGCCAAGTTGAGCATAAGCAAAGAAAACAATGAAGAACATGACTGCAAAGCCCAGGATGTCCTTGGCACAGCGGGCCAGTGTGGAGGAGAGTTGAGTCATGGTTTTGTTGAAGCTGATGTACTTGAATATCTGGAAGGGCCATGTTGAACCAAGTCATGAAGGAGGAAAAGGGAAAAGAGTTAAGTCCACTCCAGGGGTCTATGAAGGCCACAGGAGTTGTCAAACTGACAAAGAAAATGAGACACATATTAAGGAAGGGAGAACGAGTGTCCTGGGGCAGAGCTAGGCATGGGGAACCCCAGGTACCTTGATCCAGGCAAAGAAGAGATTGACAGCATTCATGTTGTTGTATTGCGTCTGCCAGAAGGCGAGGAACTCAAAGTCAGCATACATGTTTGGCTGCTGCAGGAGCTTCCCCATCAGCCGATTTACCTCAAGGGTTCGGAATATGTGGAAGCCAATGGCCATAATGGAGAGCTGTCACACAGGGGTCATGGGGACATCAGAGAAGTCAAAGGGATCTCGAAGGAAATTCAAAGTTGAGGCCCCAGGAAGAGCTGGGGTATAAGTAGGGGGAACAAACATCTTTCCCTGCTAGTTGTTCACCATCTCAGGTCCAAATGGAATGGAAAGGATGATTGGGAAGCATCATAAGTGTTCTAAAGCTCAGGAGAAGGCTTTGGGGCCAGTGGCAAATATATAGGTTGGGAAGGGCCACAGGGAACTGGAACCAAGAAATGTATTTCCCCTGCTCCCACCACTTCCAAGCATTTGTCAGGAAATGAATGTGTCCTGTTAGTAGGAAGGAATGATGATGAGCGGGCAGAATATTTGAATAGAAGAAAAAAGGTAGGGGTTTAAGGGTGCAGGCATAAAGGCAAGAAGGCAAGAGAGAAACAGGATATTAAGTGCGCAAAAAGGTGAGGAGGAGCGGAGACTGAGAGACAGTGTTTTTTCCAAGGGCAAGGCCAGGGGAACATCAGCCTCTTGCTTGGGGAGTTGTCACACAGTTATTTGACCAGAAGTCAGGAGGAAGACTTTCAAAATGGATCTCCCTCTTCCCCCCCCCCGCCCCCCGCCGCATGCTCCAAGTCTGAGATCTCTGTCCCTCACCAAGATGACCACCAGGTCCAGTATGTTCCAGATGCTGCTGAGGTAGTGAAGCCGGTGGATGTGCAGCTCCAGAATCTCCTCCACCACATAGTAGAAGATAAAGATGCAGAAGATGATCTCACAGATGATGATAAAGATGTCCCAGTTGCTGACATAGCGGATCAGCTTAACTGTGCGGATTTGCCAGGATGGGATGGCCCCTCCTGTAGCAGGAAACTCCACCACCAGTCTGTGGGGGTAGGGGCATGCTTAGGGGGAACCTGGTCTGGGAGAGTTCCTCCCACCTTCTTCTCTCCACCCCCACCATAGGGTATGGGTTTAGGGAAAGGTCTCAAGCACAGGAGAAAGGATCCAGGATCCATGGGGGGTAGGAATGCAGTAGGGAAGGGGGCTCACCTCAGTACACAGAACAAGTTGATGTTGGCATTGTAGACTGAGAAGTCAATGAACACCACCCGAGTGCCCCTGTCCAGCCACAGTCCCTCCTGGAGGTCCCTAAGGGCCTCTGCACTGGCCTGTCGGGGTCCTGGAAGGTCCAGATAGTAGCCACCTCCACTGTAGCTGGTGAGTCTGCCCCAGTGGGAGGAACCCCCCAGCTCATCCTGTGAGTGGTATGTCCACCTGCCACAGAAAATGTCATCGGAGCCAGCCCAAAGCTCAGGCCATCTCCCAAGGCAACAGCAACACTTTATGATTATCTGGACTTCTATGTGTGTGTATCTATAATATGTGATATATATTATATACAGTATATATCAATACATATTATTTGATACTATTTATTATATGTATATATGTATTTGGCATATATTATTTGGTATTAACAACTATCTGAGAAAGGAGGGCAGATATCCATTTCATAGACAACTCAGAGATTTCTGAGATAATCCAGCTATGTAGTGAGAGAACTGAAACTCAAATGTAAATCTAATTTTTCACTATGTCAGTCAAGACCGTCGTTGAGAAAGCCAAGCTCCATCTTTGGTCCCAACCTGAGTAGTCCCTTTAAGAGAAGCACCTGGACCATACAATCCAGAAATGATCCTTCCAGCTCTGTGATCATACACTGGCTGCTCAACCCCATGATTCTCTGTTCTATCCACCAAATTTTCACCCCATGCCCTATTTCCTCCCTCTTCTTTCCTGTTCTATTCACCCTTTTCCCTTTCTTTTCTAATTCCTCATCCTCCTTCAGTCCCTTGCTTTTCCTTGAGTCCCAAGGGTTGGACTCTTCCACTTCATCCATCGTTATACCCCCAAGAGATTCATAGGCAAGAAAGTGCTTCTCCCTCCTGCCAAAGGATCACCTCAGAGGAAGGTATCAGTGACTGTGACCTGCGTGTGGGAACGAGGTTAGAGGCTCTGGCTCTGTATGCTAACCTACCTCCTCTGTTCCTCAGTAATAGAGCAACATCCCCAAATAGACACAGTTGGAACTGAGGAAGATGCCCCCTAAGTCCCATAAAGTGCCTCCATGTCTCTTTAAGCCTCAGTAGAAGTGGTTCCCACACCTTGGGATGGTGTCAGGCCCAGAAGGGCAGGCCTTGTGACACTGGTGGGATAGGGGTTCACTTACGCTGTGCCATTGAGGGGGCCAAAGGGGAGTTGTTCTTCCTTATCCGGAGAGTAGACATCATAGCAACTCAAAATGTCCTCACGGAAGTCCTCATGCACCACACAGGAATCATTGCGGACTCTCAGCTGCCGCAGCCTCGGAACCCCCAAAAGCAGGTTCTCATAGTAGATGAAGGAGTGGGAGCCATGGCCCAGGCTCTGGTTGTTGTACCATTTCGTCCAGTACAAACTGTTCAGTAGTGGGCCCTGGGCAAACTGGACCACACCCTGGGTTGAACCTCTCCCTGCCTCCTCCTCACTCCCTACCATTGAAATGACCTTTGACCACCCTCACCCCAACTTGTCTTCAGTCTGCTTTGTTTTGGACTCCTCAGCTAACCAGTGAACCCTATCCTGACCTGGTATGGCCCTACTCTTCAATTAAAATGTGTCTTAAAGTTCAGCCTTACCTCTGACTCCCAGTACTGATCTTAATTCCTGTTTGCCTCCCTGATCAGCATCCTGACCCCTTACCTACCTCCACCAGAACTCTTGCCTAACACATTGTTTCAGCCTTACCCACTGACTCAACCTGATCCCTAACTGACCTGATCTCAGGGGCACATGGCCTGGCCCACTTCTGACCTCCTCGTCTCACTGTCCAACCTTCCTCAGACCATTGAGAAAGAGAGGAGAAGGGTAGAGGAGATCTCATACTCACATCCCAGAAGTCGGCCATGCTGCTGATGGCCTGGAAGGAGACGCCGGTCTCTGACGGGGTGTGTAAGAAGAGCTCAGACATCACTTTGGTATAGTAATACGCACTGGAGCTTGTCATTCCATAAGTCACTAAAAAACAGCCCAAGAAGCTGTGTTGTTCTCACTGTTCCCATCACAGTTCCCCAGAGGAGGTGGTCCTGGGGCCAGAGATACTCCCTGAATGAGAGCCCACCACACCTACCCTCTAGGGTTGGCTAGGAGGCTGATGGTGGCAATGAAGGAACCAGGGAATGCATTAAGGAAAGGTTGTAGCTACAAGGTTTCATCCCCAGGAAGCCTGAACTCTGCTCAGTAATTGTCTTATGATTTTGTTAGGAAATTTTGTTATAACTATGAAACTTTATGCTTCCTTTACTGAACCAGTTTAACTTTTATTTCTCATCCCTCAAAGCCAAGATATTTCTGCCTAGTGCATTGGGCAATGCTTCCTTTTATTTGTCCTCTATTTACGCCCGTTGGAAAGTGCCTCCAAATTCTAGAGTACTCCCTCTAGAGTTCAAGGCTGGGGCCAAACACCCCACAATGGAGAGGTGGTTTCCTGTGAGTCTGTGATTCTGTAGCCATGAGAGTAGCAGGTGGGCATTCCACTGCTGGTCTAGGTGTGACTAGAGCCTCCTGATGGGCACAGTCATCTCCTGAGAGAGGACTCAAAGTGTTCCCAGATCCAAACAGACCTGACCTTTGCCCTGAAGAACTGAATCTCCCTCCACCACCCTAACACACATACGTAGTCCCATAAATGGGGCTTTATGCAAAGGGAGCTCTCAGTTTCCTGCTTGAAAGGCTGGAGTTGAAAAGAGTAGCCATTTATTTTATAGATTGTCCCTCAATTTAGGTTAATCTGATGGTTCCTCATTCTAAAATTTAGGTCATGCATTTTGAGGAGAAATAGAGAAGTGGTGCTGTGTCCCCTCAGTGTGTCATAGCAGGAGGTGCATATGGTTCCTTTGTCTCATTACCGGTTATGCTAACTTTGAGACTCTATTGAGGTGATGTCTGCCAGTTCTCCAATTTAAAACTATTATTTTTCTCTTTTAATTAATATGTGTTTTAACTATGTAAATATGCAATTACTCATCAATCTTTCACCTAAGACATTTAACATCCATTGATGACTTTTGCTTGATTTAATAATCTGATGACTAATATAGTTGTGAACTGGTAATTATTATTATTATTATTATTTTTTTTTTTTAGACAGAGTCTTACTCTATCACCCTGGGTAGAGTGCCATGGCATTATAACTTACAGCAACCTCAAACTCTTGGGCTCAAGTGATCCTCTTGCCTCAGCCTCCCAAGTAGCTGGGACTACAGGTGTGCACCACAACACCCAGCCAATTTTTTAAATTTTTAGTTGAGATAGGATTTTGCTCTTTGTTTTTTTCTTTTTTTGAGACAGAGCCTCAAGCTGTCCCCCTGGGTAGAGTGCTGTGGCATCACAGCTCACAGCAACCTCCAACTCCTGGGCTCAA